ATTGCTGTTAAAAAATACTGAATGAAACAAAATATCAATTACTGTGCAAGTATATACATTTGAATTATGAAGAATTAAACCAAGTAAGTCTTAAGAAATATTTGTTGCTTTGTTCATCAATATTTTTTTTTTTTTTTTTTAGTGCAATCTTTCGATTTGAAATTTAAAGACAATATTTTTTAGATAGACATTCATTTATCATTTCAAATGACTGATGAATGTATTTAATGCAAAAAAAACGAAAATGCATGGTTATGATCTTCATACGCCTTAAATTAATTTTAAAATTGCGCTTTGGAATTTGGTTTCAGCGCATTAAATAAAGACCAATTAAATAACTTAAAAAACTATTTATTTTCTATAATTGCATTTTAAATATTTACATTAAAATATGTAAGTAATTAATTTTAGTGACAAGTGTAAGTGCGATTCTTTTACAAAATAATACTCATTATTTCAAAATGTATTAATAGACTTTTAGATTGGATCGGAACCATCCCGCAGGTAGACGCCTTGGACTCAATTCCAGACGTTGATATATTGAGCATTGATGTTAAGTCTCTGGAGCAGACCAATGCTAGACATATTTAATTTATTATATATTAATAAAAATTGTATTATATCTTGAAAATGCTAATATGAACATTTGATAACATTTTCGAGTATCTTAAGTTATTTTTTTTTCAGTTAAGTACAAAAAAACTTTTAAATTTTATTGACTCATTCTGCGTAAAAATTTACCTTTTTCCTTAATTTTTTTTTCATTTTTCTCAGTTATTTTGATAGGTACTAGGAGTTTTTTTACTTAAGTTCTTTTTAGGTATTATAATTAGATTGAATTATCTATAAGAAATTATCCCCAAAGTTGTAAATCGGAGTTTTTTTTCGTTACATATTGCTTTTATTGTAATATGGAGCATGTTATTTAAAGTGTTTAAACACTATTTTTAAGAAATTTTTACTATGGAACTTATCGTTTTAGGAGGCATTAGTATATATTTCTTAAAAATCTTTTTGCGATTCGAGTAAACATTTAATAAACATTTGAATTTACTTGTATATTCAGTAATGTATTGAACGCCTTTAGATCTAATTATTTTTTTTTATTATTATTATCTGTGGAATTTGAATATTATTGTTTTGATTTTTCAATATTTCTACTTAATTTAAATATGGCGAAACTTCTATAAAATTAAGTTTCATTGAGAGCAAAAAATTCATAGTATAGACCAATTCGTTTAATAAAAGTACATATTTTTAATATTTACATAATTAGGTATTTTATATTTTATATTGCATAAAAGTAAACATCTAATATCATATTATTTTTTAATTTTAATTTAAAAGAAATAACCAGTGAGATTCATTTGCTTATTATTTTTATAAATTGTACTTTTTTCGTAAATTGCTTCTATTTCATTAGAAACTTTTTCAATTTATTCGTATACACACTTTTTCATTCCTTTTCTATTGCCTTCGAGAGAAGTTTTTTGCTTCACTTCCTTAATAATGTTTTTTTAGATTTTTCAATATGGTCGAAGAAGAACTTGTCGGAATACCATATTTTTTTTTTTTAACACTTTTACTTCATTTAACATTTATTGACAGTTGATAAACATTTACATTTCGAAATTTGTATGTAGGTATAGATAAAAGAATTTGATCGTATAAATACGTTTATGTTAATATTGGAACTGCAGTAAAAAATTACTTTTATAGAATATCTTTATCGGATGCAATAAAATTGTAGATATTTTAGAACAATATTTAATATTTGATGGTGACAACATTTATTAAAACAGGTTTGATTTTTGAATAGTTTATTCGTTATATAGAGACATCGGATTCGAAATACAGAGATAAATTTACGCATGATTAACAATGAAGGTCATGGTTCTCAAAAATAATTCGTTAAATGGAAATTTGTTGTATGGAAGTTTCACAGTACAGCATAAACAAAATTATACATTTTAATTAATTAATTAATTTCATAGTTTGTTTTTCTGATTATCACCTGTTGTTTTAATTTTTATCTTACGGTTATTATATTGTATATTATATTATAATCGAATGATGTTATATTTTCGAACAAGGACGATGGCCATTGGTCGGATAGTAGGTAATATTGATACGTGTGTAGATATAAAAATGTTTTAGGATATAATTTATAAGGTTAATCAAATTAAAAATACAATATCAAATGATCATTTGAAATCTCAATGTTATAGTGTTCCGTTCATAATGACTTGACGAGTTTCAATAACATATACCAACGTCACGTAAAATAACACCCGAAATTCGACGAACTCAACGCTTTCACATCCGTACAAGTATTACGCATCTATACGTCCCTCTCCTTGTGTCTACAAAGGGGGTATAATATCATAATAATATGTATTTCCGCATCGTTTTATAATTAAGCCCAATATTACATACACCAGTAAACGGACCGTGTATAATGTATACTACTTAAAATGTTTTTTCTTGATTAAAATATTGCTGTTTCTATGTAATATTATTATTATACGTGTCGTGCAATAACGGTTCGTAAAAAAAAATTTACAAAATACGAGAATAATATGACATCGGCGTTCTAATCGTCGATATGGGCCATAACAATAATATGATAAATTATGACCGTAACGCGTTTTCCTCGGGTGATTTCAATACACTACGTCGCGTCGTAGCTGGTACTATTGGTAGCCACTATATATAATATGTACTTATACCTAAACGCGTAACCACACTCTAACAGCGGTGGTGCTGCTATGGAGATTTTTTTCCGCGAGCCGGGGAAAGCGATGCGATGAAAACGAACATTATTCGAATCCCGACGTATAGAGAAAGAGGATGTGAGGAAAAAAACCGTCTTTGGTGGCGAGTTCGCGACAAACGTGCGCGTGCCGCGGTCGCGCATCGGCGGACTATAACATCGCGATTTGCTGCCGAAACCGCGAAGAAGGGCAAACGTGAAAAGAAAACGATTTGACGTCGGCCGGATCGCACACGCGCATAGAAGCTATACTGCTATAGATAAGTACACTGACCAATTATCGACGGATTATAATATGCATCGGACGTAATAGATAATGTACCTATCGATTGTATAGAAACCGTTCACCGCCGCCCTAACTGCAGCGTACGAAAACCGTTCGCTTTCTACGCATATATATGTATATATATATATATAAAACAGTGGTATATACGATATTATAAGTATCTATACCACGGTTACCTATATACCTATATATATATATATATATAAATATTGTATGTATATAACGTCGTAGTGTTGCGCGCGTGCGTCAGCCCCGCGAGTCAAGTGCCGTATGACGGTATAGGTATGCAGGTTTCGGCGCGCGCGCGATCGTTGAAACAATGGGACAAGATAAATATGATTGTATTAAAACGTAGCCGGCAGGGTCGTGTAAAAGAGAGAGAGAGAGAGAGAGAGAGACGAAAAGAGAAAAAATTCCGTTTTCTAAAAAAGGCCTCCAGCCGCACACTGCAGCACGGATCGTGACAAATAACTGAACCGAAGGGAAAGAGAAAGAGCCGCAGAACGCGCGCGACGGATGGCGGGCAAAGAGGATAATATATATTGTGTGTATAATATATAATAATATAATATGCAAACTATTATATGTATACTTACTCACATGCGTGTTATAATATTATATTGTATTATCACGCACTTTGTTTTTATAATAGATTTTTTTTATTTCTTTTAATAATAATAATTATTATTGTTTGGTTTTCTTCGCTGCAGTTTGGTTTGCGACGACAAAACGTAAAATAGTATAATGTTCGACATTTATTATGCGTAGGTACGTTATGTCAATATTCCCGAATTCACATAATCCACAAAAAATAACTAGCACTAATACAAAAATGTGTTATTGCATTTCTAGAGCTATGCACACTTGGAGTGTATGAATCAAACTTTATTTCCAGATTAAACAACATTTGTGATATTATTTCCACATCAAAGCTATATTATAAACTATATATATATATATACATATATATTTAACGATAATTAGAAAAATCAATTGAGAAAATAAATAAACATTTTAATGAAAACTATGCAATAATAATATCGTATTATAGTTTAAAGATTTTTATTATTATGTATTTTGTTAAGTATACCGTATACTTAATCATACGTAATACGCTATTCGCGAGTTAAATTCATCAAGCCACGCGAATTCATATAGCTACTTGTTGTTATGTTCCTTATTGTATCGTATTCGTTGAGTGGTTGCAGTCAATGGTATCATTCACTAATCATATTGAAATGTACTGTGAAATTTTCAGAGTTGGGCCGAGCTTTACACTTTGGACACGAGTACACGATATAACAGATGATTTGGACAACTATCCCGGCTTTATTCTTATTGAAATTAGTAGAGCACCTAACTGTTATTATCCTGCAGGTACTAATAATGAATTTTTAATTGAAAAGTGTTTTTTAACGGAATCGATTAATACCAGTATATTATCATTTATCACTTTTTTATTTGTAATTTATTAAACATCAAAACCTGGAAGGGAGTTTTTATTTTTTAAAACATTAACCAAAAGGTACTCACGCGTTCTATATATACACGTATATATCCTATATAGGCAGTATCTCATACACTTGCGCAAATATACGTAGGTATATACCATCGTCATTAATATATATTTACGCGGTGCCGATTAATTCCGTTTTTTATCGCCGTCGGTGATGTACCACAATACTATACATGTAATAATACTATTATATTATTGTGCATTACACGCACGCGCGGTCGTCCGCTTAAACCACGTCGTCGCGCGGCAAAACGTTTACATTTAACGCGTTCTATTATATATATATATATATATATATACGGCAGCATAATATTAAAAGTATTTTCGTTCTCGGACCTTCCGGCTCCGCGAGATGAATCACGTAAATCCGAAAACGCCGGCCATAAATCCATTCGCGCCGAACTCGTCGCGTTTTACATCCCGCACCGCAATAATAACACCATTATAATGATATTATATTATTATTATACACCGCGGTAATGAGGTGCGCAAAACGCACCTATAGTACCTATATGGTTGCCACTCGCCGCCGGAGAATCACGAAACTTTTAGAATAATATATTTTGCGTTCCCCTGCGTCGAATCACACGACAACGAACCACCGTAATTGCCGCCGCTACATTATAATAACACATTATATCAATACTTATCGCCTGACCGGTCCCCATAGGCGTTCCGCGGAACGTTATTAATTAACGTGTCCGGACGCAACAGCGTTATATTAGCTTACAGAAATCATGGAATCGCGCCCGGGTTAAGAACCGTGGTTGTACCATACAGGACCTATAAAACGTGAGTACAGAGTGGAATCTTGTGGAATAAACTATTTATTGATAGTCGAAGTGGTTATTTTTCTCTCGAAAATCCAATGACACGCTGGCAGAGCTGTGCAGAAGTTAATACGCTGTAGAAAACTGTTAAGTAGTAATTTGTACTTACTTAAGTAAGTTGACAATTGTCAACTACAAAGGTCGGTAGAATTGCATGGTTCCTTGCATTTTATTTTAATTAATTATACGGACTGGACCTTTCAAAAAGAATAATATTATACAATTTCAATACTTATACAATCGATATTTAATTAATAAATCGCTATAAATTTAGGGTCTGCATTAGCACACGACATTAGACGCCTTAAAGGCTCATTAGCCATATAGTTGGTGGCGGCATGCGGGACATTGAAGGGGGCATTGGAACGAGATGAACAGATGAACGAGAAGGAATTTTGAAGTAGATTAGAGAGAGAAAAGAACAGATGAATCGATATTATTGTTTAATAAACCAACAAGAAAACCTGCAATACGGCAACGTTCGGCCAAAGAGGCTAAACCCAAGTGAGTAGTAATCGGTGCGGCGTATAATAATTTTCAGTCAAAACAGTTCATATAAATTGAACAAAAATAAGATATATTTTAAAATTAAAAAAAATTATTCGCTTACACTTGTTTTGATAAAAGTTTTATAATGTTTCGTCTAACGTTGTCTGAATGATATAACTATCAGAGTTACCATTTTTTCTGTTTAAATTGGTTGAAGTCTGACATGCGTACAGTTCGATCTCTCTTTTCATTGAAACCTGTTAAATATCGGTTTTAGCATTATGACTTATGATGATAGTATATTTGTTGAACTTTTCGACCATATAATTAGTTAGCTATTTTTTTTCTATAACTAATAAACTTACATGTTTCACGGTGTCTTTCTGGATGTGCATACGTCCTTAAATTAAATTACTGTTTGTTACGAGTAGTAATTATTAATATGTTTACTTTATTAAAATTACTAGTTATACATTATACTTTCAAACACAAATTATTTGAATACCTAATATATTTGTTAAGGTGTAGTTAAAATTAGTTATGTATACGCCTCTGCGGTAAGGTAGAAGACTATTTTCTACTTCACGAAATAAGGTCGATAAAATAAAATTATTATCCATCGAATTGTAATAACATTACACCGTGCAGATAAATTATCTACTTTTTGTACAATTTTTTTTTATCGATCCGATAAGACTTCGCGTTGGCTGTTATTGAATACAAATTGCACAACTTACGTGTACTTGAAATTTTATGCGCTACACGGGTGAATGTCAGATGAATCTGCAGGTTTAGACATGTAATTTTAAATATTATCTAAAACAATTTTGTTTGGTGCAACGCTTTAAGGTCCCGTCGCAGGTGAAGTATTGGGGAACGCCCTGTTGACTCTGTGATAATGGTGACAACACCTAACACGGTTGTAATAATGATAATGTACGAAGGCGTAATATTTATAAATCATTATTTTCTTCGTACACTATAAGTGAATTGTCTACTGAATCGTCTCGTAGTTAATAATTACATTTCTATTGTTTGACATAATTTCCGGTGTCTGATAACGAAAAAAAAAATAATTCTATTAATTTTATTTCTCTGAATGATTTATTTAAGTTTATGAATTACAAGACAGATTTTTATATTTTAAATTATATGAGTTATGTTATTTGATGTCTTATTAATTATTATTATGTCGTTTTTTTTCTGAACATAATTTTGAAAAAACACAGTTGAAAAAAATATTTTATCAATCCTTATCTTAAACTGATAAATTATCAGTTCACGATTGGTACGCATTTAACATAATATTATATAAATCACAGTGTGCACATATTATTGATATTATAATATTACATCATATTTATAAGTCGTAGAAAAATCATTTTTGTATTCAAGTGGAGGCGAATTATTTTTTTAAATTAATTTGTGACGCATAAACATCGACTCATTTTTATAATACTTTTTTTTTTTTTAAGTAGTTCTATGTCGTATTAGTATTAAGTTTATTATTTTTTAATACATTTCGAATGTTCTATACGCTTTCACATTCAACTTATTATAACAAAATAATATATCGAATAAAAAATGCTGCCTCTGATGACCACTATAAGCTTTCACGATTCTAGTTCACCCGATGGGCAACATAAATCATGAGCGTATACTTGTTTAATATGTATTTGTTGCATCGTGGATTAAACGTTAGCGAATAGTGGGGGAAGACATACGTGTGGTAAAATGGTTTTCCTTATAACATTATAATATGATATATATTGTTGATGTTGTCCTCATATTATATAGAATGATATGCCCATCGGCGGACACATTCATGTTATACTTTAGGTAGGTATGTATATTGAAGGGACTATAGTTCGTAGGTGTGTCTATTTTTCACACATCGTCCGTGTAGATGATACCGCGCCGCCGTTCTTCATATACGTATAGGTTACCTATTCTATTACTATTATGGTTGTTAAATTCGTCGTCATTTCAATTTTAAATGCTTATAAAAAAAAATGTAGTTGATTTTTGTTCGATAACTTTGAATAGCTGTAAGAACAACCCAATAGGAAGCTTATATATTGGATATTTAAAAATATAATGATGTTAAAATTGAAAATTTCATGCATTTTTACTTCACAATAATTTACATATTTTTGTGATTTTTACGAATTTCGTCAAAATTTAAGTTCAAACTTAAAAATAAAATTATATATTCAATAATTTAAATTTGTTATAAGAACAATTTATAATGATTCTTCAGTCAAATTTTCAAGCTTTTTGACCTAGAGAAAATTACTTCCTTTGCTCAATCTGTATCCATTATATACGGACATACATAGGTATTTTGTTTCATAGCACAAATAACAGTATGTCGAGTATATATCACTAATTTATTTATATAACTATTTATATATTATATAATGTATTATATTAGGTATATGATATTCGTATTATAATGTATAAATGTAATTAACATTGTATACTCGTACTTTGTTTTAATTATGTTATTGATGTTTCTATTCTGATCGAGAATACACATCAATATTGAAAATTAAGCAATGACACTAATATTTATACCATTATAATACTATTATGCTTTGATAAAACATCACGTGTTTGCGGAATGGTCTTAGGTTAACAAATAATGTCAAAAGATACAACTTTTATAGGTATATTGCGGTGTTACGAACGTACGAAACATGGCCATGAAACAAATTCCACTCTTACTAATTTCTACTCAAACTGAATCGTGTCACCAATAATATTATGGTAAAATATTTGGAAAATCTCGGCGAAAATATAATGAATGATTCCGTCACGCTAAAATTTACCGTGTACATCCTGCAGATTGGTCGATAATCGCAACGATAACGCTGTGCATGTTAGCCTCATTCTAATTCTCGAGTTTTATAGATTTATAATTGTAATAAACGATCGCTTTATTATACGCGGCACATCGACTAAAGTCTACAGTTGTTGGAACGTGGGCCGGAATAGATATAGGTAATACTCGCTGATGTTAACGGTCATAAAACAACGTAAAACATAATAATTTATCGATTAATGTACATAATTTACTAATATATAGGCACATCTTAGCAAATTACAGATTTTATAGCGTGTGCACATTGTCACAGTATAAATTCGATTTATGTGTCATTTTTTGCCCACATTCCTACTTGACTGCTACTAAACAAAAATTACGAAACGTCGCTAATTGTTCAATACAACTAATAAACAAGAATATAATGTAAAAAAATTATACTTATTATACTGCACTTCTCTCATCGAGAATTTATTTATTCATAACATAAAATGTTCGGTCAATGGCCGTTTACGAACGGCTTTAATGCGATCGGACACGTCCAATAATTATTAAATATACACATAAAATGTTTTCGATTGCACTGTACGTAGTATACACGCGTAGGTATATAATATTATTAGTATTATATCGCGATATAAATGCGAGCTGGTTTTTTTCATAGAAAGTCATTGACGATGAGACCGTTTTAATAAAATTTCAGATGAAAAAAAAAATAATAATAAAAATCCTTGAGAAAAGTCATAAAATTAATATAAATCAAAAAAAAAAAAAAAAAAATGCTAATAGATAAAACTAATATCTGTATTATATAATATATTTACATAATTTTTTACTCATCATGAAATTACAGAAAAAAAGATATTAAACTACAAGATGTTTTAAAATTTTTGAATGTTATTTATTCAAATAAACTACTGCGATTGGTAATAAAGAGTATTTGGTTGGTACATTATATTATATACAATAGGTAAAACTATTACCTTTTTTTCGTTCACAATAATCATCATTGATTGAGAAAAAAAATCCGAACAGAAATAAAAATGTAGTAATTAAAATTGAAGATGCTTGGAATGAAAACGATCGGTGTTATGAGGAATAAAATTAGTATGATAATTTATGAACAGAATATATTTTTGTTCATTGCAGTATAATCCCGTGATTTACATAACGGGACGTTGCAGCAACATAATAATCACAATATGGTCGTATATTATTGTAATGGCTTTTTACTTTTTTTAATTATACCTGCACTGATGAAATATACTAAAATGGTTTTGTCACGGGCGATTTATCACGTGTACGACATAATATTATTGTTATTATAGGTAGGTATACTGTCAAACATAATGTAATATTTTAGTGCTAGACACGCGTAGTCATCTAAACGGTCGTACGGGGACAATGAGATTGGAGGATATTAATAATAGTTTAGTCCCAGTAAAATGATTTATGTGTCGTGTGTTTTAAGTATATTTATCGCGTTTAAATGATAATTTTCGCAGACACGTTGGCGCAATTCATCGAACTGCATTGGCATCGAGTCTATCGGATCGTCGGCATTTGCTGTGTGGTCTGTAGATGTTTGGGTGTCGATGCGTAGGCCGCGACGACGGCGGCGGCGCAATGAGGTTGTACGATATTATTATTAATTATTCGGTTTTCCGCTGTTATCGCGTTTCGTCAATTTATGCATATTATTTTGAGCTCTTTGCGAGATGACGTTCACTGTCCGTGCGCGTAGTCAGGCGGTGTCACTGTGCATAATACACGTAGTGCATTACAATATATTTATATATATATATATATATATATGTAGCTGGCTTACGTAACGCAGTCTGTCATTTTCTAATTCCTCGAAATACTCGAGAAAAGCCTACGTGCTCGCGATTCAAAGCCTGTTTCAAGATGGTTCGTCGTGTAGTATGTAATATACGCGGTTTCGGTTTCACTTTGACGCGAATCCGCGTACGTGCGATGATATGGAAAACAATTGATTTGATTTCTCCAAACTATCGTCGTCGTCGTCGTTCACACGTTTACTATGCGTAACTATCTTTTGATTGATTCACGCTGAACACGCTCACTTCATTTTTAACCGTCAACAATGCAGTTATTCAAAATCTTATTTTTGGAATTTTTGATTATTTGTTATAGTATATTATATACACGAAGACCGTGTTTTTAGATTATCGAGATTTTTTTTGTACTACTTAAAGAGTGCTGTCTCATGGAGACACTGCAAACTTTTGTTTTTCAAACGAGAACTCGTTATTTAACTTTTGATTTTTGTGGATAGTTTTTCTGAAAACTTAGACGATAAGATTGAGAATTTTAGTAAGCCAAAAAATTCGATATCAATATTGTTTCTGTATTTATCTATAACATCCGTAGAACATGGATATCCTGCAGACGTGTTTTTAGTGAAGCGATAAGAAATTTTGAAAACAGATTTGAATTTGTTGTCAAGTCTACTTGAGATTGATTTTCCTACATTTTTATTTTATTTTATTATTTATAATTTTTTCAAAAATTAATATATACCAATTTCTTAATTTCTATTTTTTTAATATATAATTTTTTGTGTTTAAGACGATAAAAATGATAAAATCAAAAATTTGAGAAAGACAATATCAAGTAGACTTAATGA